AACTTGAATGACTATTATCAACGGCTTCTACGCTGAATTGGCGTTTTATCAACGAGATGTAAGGCTACGCATATGTGACAGGTTTGACTTCAACAAATAACGAGGTGTGATTGGGCCATACCAAGGTATCCTAACATGGTTAAGTTATTTTAAACTGGTTTTTTACGTTAATGCTATTGAGGGTGTGAGCTCGTGGCCATCAGAAGTCCTAGTGACCATGAGCTCATACTCTCCACCATGCGCACCTGGGACTCGAGGATTTGAATGGCTTTACAATATATCGTGTCCAATGAGATGCGACTATTGGGGAACAGAAATGGAATGCCAGTCCGTGCGACTGGCAACTGGCAATCAGATTACGAGGGTCCGTTCCATTCTAACACTACGTAGTAATATCTTGCAGTTAACTTCTGGTTGCACAACGACGTGCCCCACGAAGAGCTTGACACCCCGGCGCTCTGGAACCTACAGTGCATAAGTTAGGTCGATGTGCAGTCTCCATTTTCAGAGGTTTGCAAATAGATTTCGTGTAGCGAGTTGATCCCGTTACTGTAGTGTTACACTAAGAAAATCCCGTTACCTTTGCGAGCACATCCTCCGGACATGGCCATAAATTCAAACCGCCGCAAGTAACCTTAACCCACAGTTCTTGGTAAAATATTAATCAAATAAAAAATGCGAAAAGTGTTCCTACACCTGTGGCTTTCGGTAAAATATCGATCGCCCAACGCATTCGTGTTGAGTGCAATGAAATTAGTCGAGTGTACCTGCGGGAATGTCGTTGAAAAGTGCGGTATAAGGAGTAGAGGTACAGTACGTTGTACCTGCCAGAGAGTATCTATGATAAACATTCGCGTTTGGTTCAAAAAATTGAATTAGTGTTGCACTGAGCAAAATCCCGCTAACAGATACTATGTAGTAATTCACATCTTTGCTTTAGTGCCGCCATAGCTCAATTGGGTGAGCCTCAGACTGAAGATGGGAATTGCCGAATTGAATGCGCAAGCAAGTCACGCCGCGATAATTTGTGGGTGGTTCTTAACTGTAAGTGTAGCGACGTCACTCCAGTGGCGTTATAGGGTTATCGACCAATCAGAACAGACGTCACGGTTGACGTCAGTTTACGACCAAGCTCGATTGGTGTGCGGCGTGCTCGACCATGGACACTAGAAGTTCCTTCTACAGAGCGCACGTAATTCAATCTCCTGAATCAAACGGGAATGATAGACATTCCCGTTTGATTCAGGAAATTTAATTAGTATTGCACTGAGCGAAATCCCGTTAACAGATACTAAGTAGTATCTGTTAGATTACGTAGTACTGCGTAGTTACATTGTAGTAATACCATTAACGTTAGAAAACGTAAACGAGGAACACACGAGGAGACTGCGCCCAAACCGTAAGCGGTATACAATCCGAAGCTTCAATAATGTCATATAGTTTAATCCTGATAAAAATCGAGGTCAAGATAATCTTGTATAGTTAAATCAAGATGAAAATAGAGGCCAATATAATCCAGCATATTTTAATCAAGATCATATATTCGGCGAAAACACTGAATGATCAAAATAAACCTTTGACGGTTAGCTCAAAGGCACTATTACGTAGTACTACCTCCGTGCGAAATTATATGATGATGTTATGGCTCACAACAATAAGATATCGAGGGTTGTTTCGGAGGCTTGACGTCAATGGGGCAAAGGTCACCGACGGAGCACACAAGGGGATGTTCGGGGAGGACAGGCAACTCAGGGAACCCGGGGAAAGCCGGGGTAGCTGGGAAGGTCGGGAAGACAGGAGGTTGAGCAGTCGACCCAGGGAACCCGGGGAATGCGGGGTGACCTGGGTAGGCTGGGAGACGTATACTGCAAAATGTGAACTGTTATTATGTATGTTATGTAAGATGAAAGTATGTAAAGCTATCCTAAAGCCAATTTCCCCCCGTCGATCTGGTCGAGGCTTGCCAGTGCTGTCGTCACGCCTCTAGGGCAAGGCATGGTGGTCGATTGTGGTCCAAAACACGGGCCGCCATTGGTCGAAACCCCTTGCATCTGCAGCGGCTACTGAGCAGCTCAAACGTTTGGTGTGGTGTTGAATACGGTGGTGCCCAAACGTATGAACTCGCATATGCAGCGGACATTGCAACATAATCCTGATTTGTAAGAAGTGATCCCAGGGCATGATTGTTGCTGAAAGTGTAGACCCATGACCAGCATCTCGGAACAACCAATGACAACTTCAGCACCAAGTCCTACCCTTAACATGAAATCGGCAACGCTTCCAACATCCGATCCCACTGTTGAAACGCAACGAAGATACCGAGGGAACCCGGGGAGCCCTGGGTCTCCAGGGAATGTTAGTCTGCTCGGGAATGATGGGCTCATTGAAATGTTGGCCCACAATGTTGGTTTGACAATGGTTTTACCACAAATGATTACCACTTAGGTACACTTTTTATCCGTTTATAGTACTGAAATGTGTACTGTGCGGTACCACCTCTTGATCTAAACCTTTGTATATGGATTATTCTACTACAAATCAGATATAGCTATATGAAAATTATGAAACACAGTGAAAATTAATCATCATTCCTGACTGTTATTGTGCCATAACTACATGGGTAACGTGACCGACCATTGATGGGCCGAATGTCCATTGATGGGCCGACTTTGTCATCGAATCAAAACCTCAATCAATTTTCATTGGCCAAAATCCAACCATATACCTGTATGAATTCGTATGTACTGTACTTTCTGTACAGATAAGATTGTACAGTCAAATTAGACTTCTATTGTGTTTATGTTGCTTCTGCATTGTACTATGCTTACTAAACTATAGTCATAAATAGTGCATTGAATATCTTAAGAAAGCTTATTATGACGCTCTTTGATTGTATACCGCTGACGCTTTGGGCGCAGTCTCCTCGTGTTTGCATCGTTCGTTCACTGCTTATAACGTTATTACTATACTGTAATGCACTACTACTAGGTACTACCCCCGTTTGTTAGATTTACTACTTACGTGCAATTTTTATCCGTTTATAAAGGTACTGATTTTTTACTGTACAACCTATATTCATCTAAACCTTTGTATATAGATAATTCTAGTACAAATCACATAACGTTATAGCTTGATAATTATGAGGAAACACAGTGATACATACTTAAGTACTACTAATACTAACTTAGTACGTATTGTACTACTGTATTAATAGTATGTACGTACTCCGATGACTGTTCTCTTTACTGTGCCACATTGTAATCCGTACATCGTATTTACTGCTACAATACATTTTAGAGTATGTACTAGTAAAGCCTGGCATAGTTTTCAGACACTCTCCTATCTGCGGTACAACGGGGTCCGGAATTTTGCGAGAAGATGGGAATCAGTCCTTTTGCGGTGTGGTCCACTGAAAGTAGTATAGGCTGCGGTAAAAACTTTGCAGCTATGCTAAGACTAAGCCGTGCATCTCAACTCACCAACCCTGTGATCTTTGACACGTGGCGTGTTGACTTGAAAGCAGTTAGCTCCACCTCTCATGAGCATCCAATAGCGCCGCCGTTTGAGACGCGACGTGTATGTCGGAATACATGTTGGTGCTAACTTGTGGTCAGGTGAAGTATTTTTGCGTTGTCATTGCTACGTTGAGGTCGTGAGTAATGCCATAATCATTCCAAAAGTGGGATACACTGCAACCCGGGGCTGAAATGCAACCACAGAAGCCGAAATCGATAGCACTTCTCAATTTGCCGCTGCAACCATGGACAACACGACCATCCTTGAGTACGATGACGATGTCGTGACTGAGTTGAGCTCCATGTACTCCAGTTCTTCCCCTGTGTACTCCCCCGTGTCTTCCGTTGACGATCTCAGCGGCTGTATTGAGTTCTCACCCGGTTCACCCGAATCCCCGCGCAAATCAGGCGCGATGGAACTGCAACCGACACTCGAGGAAATCGAAGGCGAGCTCGAGGACATTTTCGACAACTTTACAAAGATGCTTGAGGGTCGTGCGCTTGATGTCTCAAGCGGGTTTTTGCGTCACTACGAAACGTGTTGCGTACGCCTGCTCAACACGGCACACCTGCTGATCGCTCCAAGCAACAGCGACTTGTACTTCCAGTGTTTGGATCGCTCTGTGGGAGTGGCGGGGCGGCTCGTACGTGCGCAGGGAACCCACTTAGCAGCTCAATACCAATCGTACCGATACTAGGTCTTGTAACCAAGCATAAAAATCACCCGTTTGGCTTCCACTTGTCTTTCTTTTCCGTGAATGGGCCGGGTTTTTACTTCTTCGCAGGAGTATCGGCCAAGCAAATTTCGAATGCATCGGGTAGTCGTAGGAGTTCTTCACGTTGGCAGTCACTTTCCAATTGCGACTTTCATGCAGACTCGACGGGCCAAACGCAAGACTCAGGACGACGATGCTGACGATGAGACTCCCTCTCCATCTACCGCCCCTTCCAGTGGTCAAGGGCGCGGTAGATCAACAGTGCCTTCATCCCGAGATGGGCGTGGTCGTGGTCGTGGCGCGCGAGCTGGTAGGGCGAGTTCGATGTCCCCTTCCAACCTGCTGCACGCTGCAGGCCAGCCATCATCTGCATCCTCTGGTCCACCAATCAACATTCGTCGCACAAGTCCCACAACCACAACTGGCACGGACGGTCTAGGTTCTAACACTCCAAGAGCGTTGTTTCCATCTACAGCGCCACCCACTCCGACAGCCACGCCACACACCCCAAACCCGCCTATTCCTGCCAACCATATCTTGCCGCAGCTGTTGACATTTCTTCCCCATACCAGGCCTGCTCAGCTCACCCCAGAACAACAAGCCATCATGGGGAGCCCAGGGGTTCCGGGGGTCCCTGGGTATACTGGGAGTATTAGAAGTGGGGTACCTGTACAACCAACTGGGCCACAACCTTCACCGATGCCACCACCCTCCACTGCAGCTAGTGCTTCGCCAGGGCCTACATCAACTGCACCATCATCCACGCTAGGTTCATCAACAATTCCAGCGCAAGTCCCTCCACTTCAAATGGCCGCGGCATCGGCTTCCCCAACCAACCCAATGCTTGCTAGGCCATCTGGGAATGGCGGGAGTCCTGGGTCGCAAACCACCAGTCAACCGACAATTCCGGCTCCGAGTGTAGGGACTATTGGGTTGCCAGGGTCGGCTGGGTCAGCCGGGTCATCAATTCCCATGGGTACCACCCCGCCTCGACCGTGGAGTGCTCGAATCGACGCGCTGGTGAGCCGGATAGATCAAATGAATGTTCGACAAGAAGAGGATCGTGAACATGCTTCTGCAATGACAGAGCGGTTGGGGGTCGTGGAGAAGTCCTTGAGCAAGTTGCAGAAGGAGGCGACGGCTCTCCGCGCCTCGGTTGGGAACGCGAATCGATCGCACAAGGAGTTGAAAGGCTCCGTCACGTCTTCTTTATCTCAAGTCGACGATCAAATCCGACAGCTGACCGATTACATTGAAGAAAATGTGCGCCGTTTGGATGGGCAGTTGTCGAGCATGACTTCCGCTGCGATCAGTCAGCTACCTCGTATCCCTTCGTCCACCCCTGCTATCGTTGTTGGTCAGCCTTCTTTTGCACCTCTTGTTGCCCCTGACGCAGCAGCTGGTCGAGCCCTGTGCAACTCGATCGATCCACGCACCCACTTGGTGTGCCTCAATTTGCGCGCCACTTGTGACAGTCGTCGCACGGGGAAACATGTCGATCCAGGGGTGATCACCCCTATGTCAGTCCTATGTCCTTGTGATCGTACGAAGCGAAAGGTTCCTTGCAAGGCGCTGCTGATGTCCTGTGCGCAACCACTCCATGCTGACCATCGTCGGCGTCGAATAGAAGAGTTGTTGAGACAAGGCTCCCTACCATTCACCCTTGCTATGCTGCAGGAGTTCCTTGAGAAGGCTGGTTTGTTGCCAGCGTCTGGCGTTGGCCCCAAGAGCATCCATCCCCAGCATCCAGGCCCATCTCGCGGTCCGCGTTCCGACGACGACGCTGATGATGATGCTGGTAGCGGAATACTCTCTCTTTAGCAGCCTTCCTGCTGTAGTTGGGGGAACTCATTGATGCGCTTCTAACATGGATGTTTTCTTGATTGGTTGAGTTGCTGTAGAGAGGAGGTTCATGGGGCGTGAGTTGTTTTCTTCGCCGCGCTTCCCGGGGCACCCGCAACACCCTGGGAAGTCGGGGTCTTCGGGGTCTCTTGGGTGTGATTGGTCTTGCCCAGGGTTCCCGGGGAGTAGTGGGTCTATTAGGCTTTTGTTCGATGTTGGGGTTAGCTTGATTTTGCATGCACGTTGTTTTTGGTGTTTCTTGTTTTCTTCTGTTTGTTTGTTTCTTGGATGCAGTGGTGCGTACCCCCGAAGTTGGGATGGGGTTCCAAACCCTTTTCCGGGGGATCCAAACACTACTCCTTTTCTTCATCTTCGTAGGTGTGGTCCCTTGGAACTGGGTCGATTTCTAGTTCCGGGGTAGCAAGCTCTTCGTCGGCATCAACTCTTCGCAGTTCTGGCTCCACCCGAAGCTCTTTTCCCAAAACCATCTCAGCCAGTAGATCGAAGTTCTTTCGGCCCCGTTCAAACTCGTAGAGCAAGGGAGTTGCTGGCATAGCATGTTCAGACACCCACACCCACTGGTCGCTTCCTTCGAGTTGCACTTCATATTGCTTCTGCCAAGGCCGTGTTTGGTGCTCTATCATCCGGTCGTCCTTTATGGTTGTGATCGATTTGGGGGCTGTAGGGTTGCTGGTGTTGGCCGCTGGCACAGCTATTGCCGCCGGTACAGGCACCTCCTCGACGTTCCCAGGGTTCCCCGGGAGCGCTGGGTTGCCTGGGTTGCCTGAGTTGTCTGGGGGCTCGTCCTCTGCATCGTCATAGTCTCCATCGTCGAGGATCATTTCGACGTCGAACGCGATGGGCGCTATACCTTCAACGAGCTCAGTTGGACGTGACTCGTGTTGCCTTCATATCTTCAGGCGAGAGTCATGGACATCAGCGTGAAACCTGTAGTTCTTCCCCCCTCGTCTGGAAACTCGGCTTATCTGGCTTGCGTAGTTTGAGATCTTCTTGATGATTCGGAATGGTCCGTACCACAAATGCGCTAACTTTTTCTTCGCTCCAGCGTCCACCTGGTCGATGAGAAGCCACACTTCGTACGAGTGGTTGGTAAGCCAGCTGACTGTGTAGTTTGTGGGTCCCACCCGTGCATGAGATCGAAAGGGGTCTCGTGTCGTGTGTTGGAGATGGTTGTGTTCACTGCAAATGCCAACCGTTCTGCAAAGTCGTCCCAATCCCTCCGAGTTGGATCTTCAGAGTAAATTCGAATGGTTCTGAACAGGGGCTGGATAATCCGCTCCGTCTGGCCGTTCGCTTGGGGTCTGTAGGCTAATGTTGGTATCTGCTCTTGTCCCAGCATCTCATTGAAAGTTTTGAACACGGCGCTCATGAACGCAGCTTCTCCGTCGTGCCTCAATTGCGTGCAGGCTCCAAATCGTCTAAACACATCAAGCATGTTTCCGATTTGAAACGACTGCTTCAAGACCTGAGTTCAAGAATCCAAGCTGCCAAGTCTACAACCGGGGGAGAATGTAACGATGGCAAGGTTGCCGACCAAGAATACAGCTTGTCTCATCGTTAACAAAATGATGGCAAGGCTCTCGAACAAGCCAAAATATTATTGCACCATTAACGGGCAAGACTGTAGAACAAGCAGTAGAGAAAAACATTTACTTGATGTAGTTTAGTATAGTATACATTTTCATAGTTAGTAGTTTAAGTCGATAATCTAATCATTTTCCAATTTACTCTGTGAAGCTCGCTACCGCTACATACCTGCTCTGCTAAGGCATTCTGCACGAAAGGAATCAGCTAGGTAGTTAAGAAAATAGCCCAAGCGCAAGAAGTCAAGCGACCCACGTGGTGAATTTCAATAATTAGGTGGACGAAAATGGGACAGTAAATACGCCGGCTCCTTGTCGCCAATTGGACAGAACTTCTATTGGCCAGGATTACATATGTATTTATATAAGGATCTTGTCACAGTGGTACTATTATTTGTTTATAGAGGTCGACTAATCGAATGACTGGTTGCTATTCACTTCTCGAATTTACACCAATGCTTAGGTTTCGATTTGTGGACCGAGCGATAACAATGTTGTAGAAGTGTGTTTAAAATTGCAAAAATGTTCGATGACGTGGGGATTCGAACCTGGGCCTCAGCTTTTCAATTCGAGACTCTAAACATGGCTCCACAGTGTGAACAGTTACATTTTCGACCTGGTCGGGTAACATCGACATTATACGCTTCGGGGCCAAATACAGTGTGATGCTAACGTAAAAAATCAATTTAAGACACATCTGGAAAATGGAAGGCAGCTCGGGAGAATTTCCAAATCTCCACGTTCAGACAACGTTTTCAACCTCCGAAACTTGGAGATTATAGCTGATATAACGCTTTACAGCCACACAATGATTATATTGTGTTTTGCAGTCATATTGCATGAGAAAAACACCAAAAACCAAGCAAATTTGATACCATTTTGAGAATCAATTTAAGACACATGTTGTTATCTTGATCAAAGTATAATTGCAATCATTTGCTTGCAAATTTTGTGTTTAGGGTATTTAATTATAGAGGTACATCAATCCTTTTGCACGGGTTATAAATTCGCAAGGAGCTTTCCAATATGCATTCTTCCTTTTCCGGATAGACATGAAGAGGATAATTCGCAAGGAGCTTTCCAATTTGAATTCTCCCTTTTCCGGATAAAAATGAAGAGGATACTACGTAGTATTTATTTTCAAAGGTTTGCTTCAAATAACTTTGCGCCGTTTGATTGGTTCTTGAACATAGATAGATAGTCTTAAATTGAATTTTTATGTTATTGTGTACTTTGAACCAGAAAGGTTAAAATACTTATGTGTTCAAAACTGCTCCTGCTGTGTGACTATTTTCGACTTTCGACGTTCTTCCAGTTAAGCCAATTCCAACTTACCGGCATTGTCTATTACTGTAGTAATCGATTCGAAACTGGAGCCCTCAGCAGAATCGAAAGTGTTAAGAGGATGGATTAAAGAACCGCCTAAACAAATCAAATCACATCATATCGAGTTTCTGCCAATTCAAACGTTTGATTCAGCCCAGTCCCTTCGCATTGGGCACAACAACATGTATTCTAATCGTTGTGTAGTATAGTTTGCACAAGCTTAAATGAGATCAAATGGATTCGAATGCTATTTGGTGAAATGACTCACTGGTCCAAATTTGGGTGAAATGCACAAATTGGTTAATACTATCACGATTTCAGACCAAACTGGAAGTAAAAGCAAGTTTCCTTGTCGTTGTTTTTTACATGTTATGGTGCACGTCACCTATAAACTACCAACTTTTCACAAAAATTTCTTGCTGCTATATCGCTTTCGTTTCTCAAAATTTTAGTAAATAGAGGAGGAGAATCGAGAGATCTTAAAGTGGTGAAGAAATTCTACGTCTCAGATTTGAATTTGGTCAAGAATTGGTCAAGAAATAGACATTTACAGTTAACTAAGGGGTAATCTGCATGGGCGAATTGAATTTAGCCACAGGGATGGCCACTGAGTTATACTAATTTGGCCGTAGGGATGGCACTGAGCTATACTTCGAAGTATCTTGATCTTTTTATGAGACTTTATCCGTACTTCATATCCGGAGGTAAGTCGACATTTAACCTACCACTAAAGTCTTAAAACGCATGAAATCGGGATTTGACTTTTTCAGTTTTTTGGGATTTTGAACACAAACCGCTGGTGAACAAAACCTCAAAATTTCAGCCAAAACGGCCAAAAATTGACAAAATTATCTTACAGGTCGCCCAAACATACAGTAAGTAGATGAGCACCATAGTGTACCTGTAACATTTTGAAATGCGTGGGTTGGACCAATCAAACGTGATTATGACTAATGATGGCAATTCCTTGCATGGCAATAAAGATGGAGAAAGCTCGCCGAATTCTACACGTCGAACGGGGTGACCCAAGACACTATTTTACACCACACCAGCACTCATCCGTGAAAAGCCAGTCGTTAGGTATTATGTGAATTCGTGCCTTTTCTTAAGCTTAGAGTAACCAAATACAGTAGTCGTGGTATAAGGTACTATTTATATTATAAGGTATATTAATATACCGGTACTTTCGGACTTCACTAGCGTTTGTATAGAACCACTCCGTCCCAAAATTTCCTCCACGTTTCACCTCAAATTTTGACTCATTTACCCAATATCTACGAAATTTGTACAATGAGAAGCTGGGAATTCGGTGTTTTGCTTGCTCATATACGTATATGTATATTTCTCCTCACGATCACTCTAGTATTATACTGCTACATTCTACACAATATATTTACAGTGCCATCTATCGACAAACCTCAAACCAAGGAATGTGCTGGATGTATCTGTTGCTAGTACCTGTGAGTAAAAACTACTTAAACCAACCGACTCGATTCCAAATCCATCAAGTTGATCAATCGTGGTTAACCAAACCACCGTCAACACTTTCAATTTTACTCACTCGACATGAAACCAACCGCGTTCTTCACTCCGATGACCTTGATCATGACCATGATGGTCCAAGATGCTTCTGCCCACGGCCGTCTGCTCGTGCCTCCACACCGTGGCTACATTGGCAAACTGCCCCAATTCAGTGGCCTTGTACCCATCAACTTCAGCGACCACGGCCTCAGCGGTGGCGGCATTGGCCAAACCAAGGGCGGCAAACACGGGATCTGTGGCGACTCGTACTCTGGAAAGCGCTTGCACGAGACTGGCGGTGAATTCGCCAAGTTTCCCCAACATCGCGAAAAGGTCATCGGGGCCTGCTACGCCCCCGGGTCCACTATGGACCTTCAAGTCCAAATCACGGCCAACCACAAGGGGTACTTTGAGTTTGGACTGTGCAAACTGAACTCGCGCAACGACATGGAAACGGAAGATTGCTTCAAGACGCTTGTCCAGCCCAACGGCGAAAAGGACTGCCAATTGCCAGCAGGGGCCAAGACCTTCAACATGCAGGGATGGAGTGCGCTACTTACGGGATGGAGTGCGCTACTCCGGAGATTTACCCCAAAACCTCCGTCGAGGACGAAGCGGAGCGCCGCCGCACGAAGCAGGGCGCCGTTCAAGCCATTCTGGCTGCCAAGGCAGCCGAGGCGGAGACGCGCGGGCTTGCGCCCGCTGAAGCGACGCGGCTGCACGACTTATTGGCCAAACACATTGATGTGTTCCGTGAAGACTTGGGCGACGATCCGCCAGTCAATGTCGAGCCACTGAAGGTTTGGAGCAAACCCGGCTCGACGCCGGTGAAGTGTGGGATGCGGCGGTACCCGCCGCTGCATGTGACGTACATGCGCAGCCATGTGGCTGCCCTGGAAGCGAATGGTATGGTATGGCCTTGCATCACTCGATCCGGGGTGTACACACATCCGTTCAGCATGAACGACAACATGTCCCAGCTGTTCGGGTGTAGTGGGAACTGCCAAAAGCACTTGGGCAGGTCAAACACGCCCATCGCTTTCTTGCCTCGTAGGTTCTGGAGGATTGTAGCCTGGAACGGCATCGTTCCCGCCTTCGGCTCGGTTAGCGAGTTGACAACTCGGTAGTCGTTGGTTAGCCGGTAGTTCTTGAGCACGTCATCGTCGCTCCATTCGTCGGCTGACTTCAATGACTTGCGCCCGCCTGGTTTGAGAACTGGGTTCACCGGGCTGCACCATGCACTTTGCTGGTTGCTCTTGATCACGCCCGCATCGAGTAGTTCTTGTGCAAACAACTTGAGGAACCTATCCTCCAGGAGGATGTGCTTCCTTCCTTTGCATGGGTAAGGAACACATCCATCCTTCGGGGTCACCATCAACGGCTTCACCTTCGCCGGTGGGTCTGACCCGTCGAACTTGATTCGCCATATGTCATGTTTGCTGAGCACATCCCACAAGTACTTAACATGTTCCATTGGAAATCCGTTATCGACTGCGCCGTCGATCATGCCTTACAGGGCTTCCTCGACTTCATTCTTGGCTGCAGGTAGCGCCGCCTTCATGGTCGCGGCTCTGACGGCCGATCGTTGGGGCAATTCCACGTAATCGCCACCAACTTCTTCCAGGTCATCGTCGTCTTCATCCACTTGCAGGCGCGCCACCTGTTCCAGTAGGCGGTCGATGTCGATACCAATGGTCTTGAGGGTGTCGTCCGAGACGAGGAATTCATCTCCGTCGTTGACCACATAGCAGCGGCGCTTGCCTGGCACCTTGACTGGTCCAGCGGCCGTCTGCATCGTTAGGGTAAGGTCCACGTAAGAGCTCGCTTCGAATGGCATCTGATTGCATGCTGTTCCCACAAATGGCGCAGCCAACTTGACGACTTGAAGTTGTGGCTGTAACACTTGAAGTTCATCCACCATGGCTTGGGGCACAATGTTTTGGTCTGCGCCGGCCTCCGGACAGTATGGCACTTCCAGCACACTGTTCAGCCGCACCCAGCGTCCATCATCCTCCTTGCTGGGTGGTTGGGGTTTCTTCATTCGCTTCGCTTGCATATTCGCTTTGCGTCCCCGCGCCTTGAACCGCTTGACAGCGTTCTTGCCCTTCTTCCATCTTGTCTCGTCTCTATCCCCGTCTTTTCTATTGGGACATTCCCGGGCCATATGTCCTGGCTGCTGACAGACAAAGCACAGCATGCCGCGGTCATCCCGGCCGGGTGCGTATCGAGGGCGTGCTTCATCACGCACAGCTTGGACATGGCGATCATCATGTCTTGGGCGCGAGTTCGCTTGCGGTCCGTACTTCGTGGCTGGTGGGTCCCCCGTTCGCTTTTGCGTCGACGGGGACCACACCGCCGCACTTCGTTCCGGCTTGATGTATCCACCTGGTGGACGTGGGTAATTTCCACGTAATTCCCGCTGATCTCGAACAGCTTGGTTAGCCTTCTTCGCATGTTTTGTAATGCGGCGCCCTTGGTCGTCTTCTTCACGGCCACGCTTCGAACCATAACTGTTTCTTTGTTGATTGACCATGTCCGCGTCATGCGTTCGGTCGAGCTGTTCGCGTAGGATATCCGCAAAGGCCACCAGATCGTTCGCTGGCACGGTCTTCATTTGCTCTTCGACTCTGTCACGTAGGTAGCTGGGTGTGACACGCGCTGCTACCACTTTCACGAACGTTCTCAGCATGGTTGGATCTTTGAGTTGTTGACGTAAGCCGTTCTCGTCGATGACGTCATCAACCCGCTCCATAAATGATACCAGGCGACTGGTCACGTCTCCATGGGGGTCGACACTCAGCGCCCGACAGTAATTTTGCATGTCTGACTTGGTGGATGTCCACTTGGTCGCTGGTTGTCCGACGATTTCCATGATGTGGTCGCGGTAGTCGTCCTCACTGAGTTGTTCCAGAGGCACTCGCCAAACATAGGAGCATGTAGCCTTCAGGAGGCTGCGGTCAGTGGAAGGGATCCACCCCACTGCACTCCGACGCCACTCGCCACCCATGGGTTGCGCATTCGCCCGTAGCTTGTACTCATATGTCTCCCGCTTCTTCACCCAACTGACTAGGAAGGTTCTGTCCATACATGTGGTCCGAGGGGGTTGGACATCTGTCACCACCAATGAAGGTCCACTGGAGTTGAAGTTGGGCCCCCATCCTCCGCTGCTTGGCGTCGGTGGTCCACTCGTAAGAGGTCCCCATCCCGAACTGCTTGGTAGTGTGGTGTCCAGCATTCTCCGATCATGTGCCGCACGCGCCACTTTGGCAAGGTCAACGCGCTTCTCCTTGGCCGGACGATTGGCTTTGTTGATCCGCCGCCACTCAGCTTGCTTACGCTGTTCTTCTTGGTATTCCTTTTCTTCTTCCTCGCTGTCAGGAGTACTGTCCGGTTGATTTCGTCGTTCAGCACGTAGCTTAGCTCTAGCTTCCGCCTTTTCTTCCGCTCGCTTCTCAGCATCGGACTTCTCTGGCGGCGGGTAGTCTTCGTCGACATAGGCGCCTTCGATTGGGGGTCGCGGTAGTTGTTCCCAGTTCGGTCCATGGTTTGTCCACCATATCGCCGCCGCGATTCATCCCAGGTCATAGACGCCGCTCGCGCACTACCCATTGCCTTGTTCGCCACAGCCAGCTCTTCCATCGTCTTCCGGACTTCCTCGCTCTTGGACTGTTCCACAGCCGGCAGCACATCTGTGGTCCCTCCAACTGCCGGGACCAACGGTGGCTCCGTCACTGGTACTTCCTCCTCAGTTTCGCTGCTCGCAGCTGCTGGCGCCGCTACCGCGGCGTTCGGCTTCTGGGCGCGATCTTTTGAGTTCTTCGCCATTGCTCTCAGTTCCGTAGGTCACTGGAACTAAAGTATACTTTGTGTTGTTTCCCACGCCAGTGCCAACACAAACAACCAAATGGGGGAGTGCCGACTCCCTGCAAACCACACACTTGATTGACTTGACGTTAGCACGACGTTGCAGAACCAAGAGTGAGATTCTGGCAGTTGGCTGGGACAGGTGTTCTGTTTTCTACGTCCTAGTACTACTAGTAATACTACTAGTAATACGATGCCTTTTCGTGTCGGTTCGCTAAGGGTCGGTACCCGGTGGCCTCGGTTGAGGACCACCTGTGTCATAGTGGGACTTGGGTTAAGTCGCCCACCATAACAAACGGTTTCCGATCGACTTTTACGGTTTATCCCGTTTGGCCACGTCCTTTATATAAAAGTCGAATAGAAAAAGAAAAGAATGTGAATGAGGAGAGCAGAGCAGAGCATATAATGCTATACGAGAAGTTTGGTTTGGCCACGCGACAACGGGACAAATGATCTCCGCTCTCCATGAACGCGGTCGTGAATGCTAGAGTCGTTTAATTATGGCCACGCCTGGCCATTTGGCCATGGCCACAAAAAGAATCATGGTGACCAGAGCAGATCCCAAGAATGGCCCACTGCTGCAATCGTCATCTAGAATGGCGCTTAATAATGCTACGCTCAGCTCGCTCTGCTTTGCTTTTTGAGTTCCTCGATAGAATTGACACTTTGATGTGTCGTTGTTAGTGAACTACATGTCCAAGATCTGAGCTTGAGCCTTCGCTTCCACCTACGCCTTGCGAATTCTCTTGTTGTTGAGCTTGGCCGCTGGTTTCATCGCTGGTTTCGTCGCAGGTTCGATGGTTGGTTCGACCACTTCAGCAGCCGCTTCTTCAGCCACCGCCACTTCGACCAATTCAGCTGCCGACGACGACGCTATCACGAGCGCGAATTAGCTGTTCAAGAATTCGTTTTAGTTAGCAAACAACTAAAACGAATTGAGATAAACATTCTAAAACGAGAACTGAAAAATGAATCAAAAATTCTAATGGCGATCAATCTCTAAGGTCCATTTCGTATTACTCAAACCACGCAAACGAATTCGCTAATATCCCTGCGACACTTCAGCATACAAAATCTTAATACGCGTGTCTCAGCACATGTCTCACGACAAACAAGTCTCGCAGCTGCAAAAAACAAAATTGCAGTTAACAAGCTCGCCGTATGGATCTATTTTTATCATTTTTCAAAATCCTGATTGTTCAAATCGTAGAATCCGTTCAAAAGAGTCGGCTCTCTTTTTTGACGCGAATATAAATTGAGCAAACACCAAAAACCGCAATATTGCGAATACGCTCCTTGATATTGAATAGTGTTAAAACCCTTCACAACTAATGTTGGCGGTGGGCCAACTCCAAATGGGTCAAAGTAGTAACCACTATGAATACATGTCGAATGACCAAGTCCGTTACGATCTGGTCGCAACAGAATGATGTATGTCCCATCACTCTTGTTTGTACTCCAATTTCGTCAATCGAAATAATTCCATCCAAATGAACATCTAGTAATTCAGCCAAGGCAATCAAATCATGATCTGACGAAATGCCTTTGATGAAATTCATTTAATTTAATGAAGGCCAAAACAATAGCCTTCATGAAGGACGTGCGACGTGAGGAACATATCCTCACGTCCATGCGCATAGTCACCTACATGAAGACGCACCACAAGCAGTGGCTGGACCAGTACAAGGCCACGAAAAAGGACCCCTACAAGGCTATTCTTGGACTCTGCCAGGCCTTCGCCCGTCGACACCGATTTTCCCAGCGTGTCCCTTGTCATTCCAAGATGCGTGAGCCCGAGCTTGTCCTTGTGAGAGATGAATTTGCCGCTTAATTTTGGGGCAAGTACAGCGACTACCGTTCCCACGACATCATCAATGTGGATGAAACTGCGGTCTACTATGACATGCCCCCCGGCAAGATTTGGGCCGAGATCGGTGGGTCATCGAAGACGGACAAGACTCAAAAGCACTCGGATAGAATCACAGCGGTGCTGTCATGCCGGGCGGATGGTATGTGGTTACATTTTTAATCTAAACTAATGCTTCAATGTAGGCAAAAAACTTCCAATCCTGTTCATTGTCCATGGCACCCCTGGTGGGACTATTGACACCAATGAGTTGTCGACGTACCCAAGTGGGCACAATTATGACGTGCAAGAGTCCGGGTGGATGGACTCCAGGGTGTGGAAGGCATATCTCAGCATGCTGCCGCCGTACATTCATGGCCCGTCAGTTATTCTGGCGGACAACTTCGATGCCCATGTTTCCCAAGAGTCTGCTGAGGCCATAGCAGGTGACCTACATAGTATCTTGGAACCACTGCCACCCAACAGCACCTCTATTTGCCAACCGCTAGACGTGGAGGTCATGGGTCCCTTCAAACGGATCCTCCGTATGCTGTGGTTGGAAGAGCATCCAGTCAATTCTGCCGCTGAAAGCGTCTCGCGATGATAAAGCGATCCATTAAAGCCTGGAAAATAATTACTCCTGATGCCATTAGAAGATCATTTGAAAAGGCATTGCCACGACCAGAAATGCATATAATATAATGTGATGTGTTGTCTTGAGGACTTGGTTGTTCTTGTTGTGCTCGAATCGACAACAATGAATCACTCGTTACATTGTTCGATTGACGAATGAATCCGGTGACTCTCAAATCAAGCAGGGTTCCAACCGATGTGATGTTGGCTTGCGCTGCTGTTGAGAGCGTTCCTGTGATGTTCGTTCCTATAGTATATGCTGCAGTTAGAGAGTTGATGTTAGTAATCGATCGATTTGAATCTACAACAAGAGCTTGTGAAGGACAAGCAGATCCAAGAACGATTCCATTTGTGTAAGACAGACGAACATCTTGAATTGGACAATAGAGCAAATTTGCCATGCCAAGCGTAAGATACTCCTCATTACCTGCGAAAGCATTTTGATTGTACGTGTAAGTAACTGAAGTTGGAAGTCTTGCTACAAAGCCGGACATTTTGTGACGTAGTTACAATTTGTATATTCAGCATGATATAGAAACCAACGAATTCGACTCAATATCCGCGGTTCCAAATTATGGTAGTGGATTGCCAAAAAAGTTCAAGACAAAGAGTGAAGGAACGAATGAGAATTTGAACATTCCGAACCTATTCAGAGCGATCGTTCTTGGTCCGAGCTTCTCAGGAAAGACCAATCTCATTATGCACATCATCAAGGAGTCTCCTAACATCTACACTCATTTGCATCTGACCCTGATCAGGAGATCTATAATTACTTGAAGGACAAACTCGAAGGTCATATTACAATCTACGATCCAGACTCGCCACCATCAGTTGAGATATCAAATCGAATGGATCCTTGCAACTAGAGATCATCGATGACTTGTAGGGAGTTGATAACGCAGAGGAAATTGTAAAACTGATTGATTGGCGTTATCTACATCTACATGCATGACTACTCTGACTATACTATATCTAATGCTATACATACGTGCGCTCTGCAGAAGGAACTTCTGGTGTCCATGGCCGAGCACGCCGCACGCCAATCGAGCTTGGTCGTAAACTGACGTCAACAGTGACGTCTGTTCTGATTGGTCGATAACCCTATGACGCCACTGGAGTGACGTCGCTACATTCTCCCCCGGTTATCGACTTCGCCGCTTGTATCTTCGCTCGCAGATCTTGAACCAGGCGCTTGAAATGGGAAACATGTTTGATGTCCCGCTCAAGTTCCCAGGTCGCTTCGTAATCGGGCAAGCCATGCCACTTGACGAGGTACTCTTTCTTGCGGTTGAACTGCCGTTGCTTCAGCAGCTCTTCGACGATGAAGACTTCGTGGCCACTGTCGTCCAAAAGCATTGGAGTCGCTTTGGGTATGGGTCGGTTGGTAAACCGATCCGTTTGGCCAGGGCACTTCTTCAGTCGATCGACATTGAAGACGTTGTGAAGACGCTTCATGCTCTTAGGCAACTCCAACTTCATAACATTCGGGTTGATGACTTGTATGATCTTAAAGGGACCAATGAACTTCGGTACTAACTTTGGTTTCTCATCCTTGTTCACCAACTGCACATGCTTGATGGGGACGTTGCGTGTAGCTAGCATTACAAACTCGCCTTCGCGAAACTCCAATTTGGAGCGCTTTTTGTCGTAGTAGCTCGTTTGACGAGCCTGTGCTTTGTCAAGGTTCTCAAGTGCCATTTCTTGACTAATGCTTTACGTTGTTCGGAAAAGTTCTTCGTGTACTCATTCAAAGTTTCAACTTGATTAAGAATGGGGTTACGCAACTTTCTGCCCGTGTCCACTTTGAATGGAATGAGTCCCGTCGACGCTTGAATCAATCCTTGGTGCGCATACTCAATGGTGCCGAGGTGCTCTGATCAGTCATGTCCGAGGTAACTGACTTGGCAGCGCAAACCATCTTCGATTGTCCGATTTTGGCGCTCTGTGGCTCCATCACTCTGAGCTCTTCCTGCAGTCGTCATGAAGTGCTTGACTCCCATGATCTTCATGAGCTCCTGCCAAAACTGGCTGGTGAACTTGGAGTCACGATCACTGATAATGACCGCCGGTAGGCCATGGTGCCGCACTATTGTGTCGAAGAACTCCTTGGCCACTTGAGGAGCATCGACAGTCGACGTCGTAGCACAGTACTTGGGTCGTTTGGACGTCTTGTCCACGCACGTCACGATCGCATCCTTGCCATTGGATACAGGCAAGCCCGTGATCCAGTCGATGGAAACCGTGTGCCAACACTCATCTGGCGACTTGATGGGAATCATCTTGCCGTTCGCTTTGGCACTGCTTGTCTTGTAGCGTGCACAGGTTTCGCAAGTAGCGACGTAGAGCTTGACGTCGTCCTCAAGTCCCACCCAATAGTACCATTGTGCAATGTGAAGTTGCGTTCGACGCACACCTGGATGCGCCGTTATGCTGGTGTCATGACTCTGCGAAATGATCTCGCCTTTCAAGTAGTCGTCGTTCGGCACACACAACTTCCAAACTTGGTCTTTCGACTTGACGAAATAGAGTCCATCATTCATTACGAACTTATTGTCGTTGGCAAACTCCTTCGTCTTCTCGTACGCCTTCAGGAACCGTTTTTTCAGGTTCGAGTCCATCTTCACCATGCTGTACGATACTTCTTCCGCGTGATGGATGACGAGTTGTTGAGGAACTTCGACTTCGACACTACCAACGCACTCCTCCCCCGGAGAAGC